TCTTTGTAACTTTAAAATTCTCAATAAACATCATTAAAAAAAAAGAAGAATTATGACGGAATTATTGGAGATGTTTCTTCTGCGTCATTCACAGGAGTGCCTGGCTTGTCTGAGAGGAGTTCTACTCACCCAGGCTGCGTGTAACAGAACACTTCAACTCCCATCTTGATCATTGTAGCTGTATGGTAGTTAAAAGTTACATCAAGCATTTCCCTGAAGCAATTATTGTTGGAACCCTTTAACACATCCATCTTCAGCCCTGGCGCTTGCAAAATCTGGTTGTGTATTAGACAGAAACCTCCTGTAGGGCAGCCAGATGTTTTCCACTGGGGCAAGCTTCCCATATGTACTCCATTTTAGCCAAGTAAACTGATATGATGTTTGTTTATTCCTGCTGACAGGAGCCTGTTTGAAACTGTCTGTCTTGGGAACGGCTGATGGAAGTGGGGCACAGGAGATTATGAATATTAATCTTGTTTCCCTTGAGTCATTTACACATTGCCATCCTTCATTTGTGTGTGTAAGAGGACAAGATTCTGTCCCACTCTCCCAACATTTTGTTACACTGTAGAGTGACCAAGAAACAAGAGTGAGGGTAGGCCTATGCTGATGAATTTGTGGAATTATACAGGTGGAGACAGACCACATCTTAATTGTTGTGTAAAACATGTTTCCTAAATCAAGGCTGTTACCAAGTGCACTCCTTTATTTTCACTTATATAAAGACCCATATATGTGGGTATATATATATATATATATATATATATATATATATCACACACACACACACACACACACACATATATATGTTTGTAACTGGATTAGATCTGAAATTGCTTTAGTTGATTTTGTGCATAACATTGTTTTAATTGCTTGTATATATGAGATTGTATTTTATATCCATTATTATTTTTATGGTTGATGTTCTTAATGTTAAATCACTTTGAGATATTTTATAGGAAGTGATTCCTAAAAGAAACAATTAAATTAATAAATACACATGTGAAACTTGAGATGGAATAGTCTGCATAGGAGGACTGTACCACTTCAATTATACATGTTCCAATTAGCCTTTGTGTGACAGAGCTAAGCTAAGGGGTTTGTTAGCTTTTTTTTTTTTACCTGAAATTCTGAAGTGTAAATGCAGTGAGGTTGTTTGAAAAACATATTTTTTATAAAGGCACTTTGGAAGCAATCCTATAGCAAGTTATGTCTGGATGAGTGGTTAAGATCCACTGGATCCCCAGCTGTTATTTAAGGGAGCACAAAAACTGACTTAAAGCAAAGTGGTGCAAAATGGGAAATGAGCCATTAAAATAGTGTTTGGTTTGCACCCCCTTTTTGCACTAAAGCAAAGATTCACACTGGTGCTGAGGATATGAAAGCTGCACTGGTAATCTCCCAGCTAGGCCACAGATCTGCTGGATTTTAATCCGATGGTCCTTTTGGATCTTTCAGTAGGATTGCTCCCTTGCATTTCCCTCTGTCGTGTTTAGGCTGGCTCAGTCAGCAACAGCTCTGCCGCCAAACTGAGTTTGGATCAGGTGTAACCTTATGCCAGTTTAATTTACACTGCCATGTTTTGCACCAGCTTCTTCTGCACACCAATATTCCTTTATTAGAGAGCCAGGACTTGCTGTGACTGGAGAGGGGGAATAAATTCAATCCAGTTTGCATTTAAAGGCAAACCTACCTAATTCACACTTTCTAAACAATATGTGAAGCGAAACACAGATGTCTTTTAAAATTTACACTTCTGCAAGTTTTGCTGTGTGGTTTTCCAGCCCAGTAATGTTTGCAAAAATGTGTGTATTTGCCGATGTGTGCTTAAAAAATATATTAGTGAAAATAACCTGCAAAATGCATCACACAGTCGTATCTTGGAAGCCAAATGCCTTGGTTCTCAAACAAATCAGCTCCCAAATGATTGAAACCCAGAAGTAAGTGTTCCGGTGTTCGAATGATTTTTGGAAGTTGAATGTCTGGCATGGCTTCTGCAGGTTCCGATTGGCTGCAAGATGCTCCTGCAGCCAATCAGAAGCCACGCTTTGGTTTTTTAACAGTTCCGGGAGTCGAACGGACTCCTGGAACACATTATGTTCGAAAACCAAGGCACCACTGTATAAGGAAAGTCGCTTTGCAAAAATGGCTCCATTAGGCAAATATGCCTACAATGCGAGAAGTGCAGTAAAAAATACTGCTGAATTTTCATGAGGACTTACTGATTTTGTTTTTTAAAAATACCCAATCTAATGTGAAAATGTGAAAAATGCAATGGGGGGAGGGATGAGAAACTGAGAAAAAATGATAGATTTGTCAATCAGTAGCTGTGTCTCCGTATCTGAGTGGGCATTGAGAGGCAAATCTGAGTATTTGTCTCTCCTAGGGTCACGTGTTGCAAAACAAAAACCCTGTGATTTTTCGATTGACTTACCTAAGATCCAGGACAAGGCACCACCTTTCGGAAATTCTCCCCTTCTGACTCACTTGGCAGAAACCTGTAGCTTGATATTCTTCTTTCTATTCCAGATAGTGAACTGGAAGGGGAATTTTTCTTTCCTTTCCTTTATCTTTATCTGTCAAGTGGGATGTGGAGTGCAGTGACTTTAGAGGAGAATTGCTTCCTTTTGTGGTACCATGCCGCTCAACTGCTGCTTGAAATGAAGAGGGAATGGTGTGTGTGTGTGTGTGTGTGTGTGTGTGTGTGTGTGAAAACCATGAAAATAAAGCTCTTGGCATTCAAAAGCCTGCAAAAATTAACTTGAAGTCAGCTTGAAGAGACGAGCCTTACTCTCTGAAAAATAATAAGAATGCTCGAGATGTGCTGCAAAAGTCTTTCTTGAAGCTCTAAATTGGACAGTTCCCTGAGTATAATGAAAGCTGAGCAAGCAGTCAAGTTTGTAATGCCCCGAATTTTAATGAAAATGGGAGAAAATGATGTGAAGAGGGGTTGGAGAGGAGTGGGGGCGAGGTTTATGGCATTTATCTTCCTTCTTTGCTAAAAATGTAACAAGAAATAGTTTCAGATGAGAAGCTTCAAAGAATGTTGCTTGCACAAGCCCACCAATACTTAGATGGACAAGAATGAAGTGTTAGGCAAGGATGATTCATTTGTGCCATTTTTATTGTGTCCCTCTTCCAGGCAGCCTTTTTTTTGGGGGGGAAGGGGGGGTCACACATCCATGTTCATACCTTGTTTCATATGAAGTGATTGTCTGCATTCATGAATGAATCAGAACAGACCTATAATTACAAATGTTGGCATCTGTTTGTCTCAGGAGACAATGGAGTGTGAGCCTTTGGGGGTGAAGTCAGTGTCAGCTACAGCCGTATAGACTAATATGGGAGAGAATGATTCAGATGCAAGATAGCAGTTTTTCTCTCTGTATTCTTCATGTGGTCATCCCTCCTTTGGTCACTGTTATGGGTGCAAGACCTGATTGTCTGTCTCAGCATCGTCACAGCAATAGGATTCTCAAGACCACTGGTAGTTAAGTCAAATTCAGACCAATCTAGTTTTGTAGCACAGAAGTGACTCCAGAAATCCTAAAGCTTGCATATTCAGCATGCAGACAGAGACAGATCCGATCAAGGCATTGCAATACCTATTTTCTCTGTTGTGTTTCTTTGGCACAATTCGGCAACTGCTCTTTTCTTGCCAAAAACATTGAGTTGGGTTCCTTGATGTAGTTGACTAAAAAGAGTAATTTCAGCTAGAAGCAGCATGAAGACCCATGGGTGATAAATGAGACAAAATATTGCTGCTATTTACAGAATCTGCTCATTAAGTCTGAAGCAACGAGGGCTTAATGGTCTTACCTTGGCATGTGCCTAGGTGAACCAGCTGCCTGGAAAGCCTTAGCATTGTGCACCTGTTCAGAAATGATTATGCCTCCTCCAAAGTCTTGTCAGAGTTTATTTGCTTTATATTGATATTCTCTCTTTATCAAAGCACAGTAAAAAATAAAGTAAATAAAGTGTAATGTAATAAAAATAAAGTGTAATGTAAATGACCTGGGTCCATGAAGAAAACTTGGTCATGCTTGTGGTGTATTCTCCTCCCTCTCTTGTAGTCGGTACCATGTTAACCCATGTTATAATGTGTTATATTAAGTGTTCTCTACCGCGTATCCACATCAATGGTTGGGGAAATTATTAATAGCATTACCGGGGAGCAAATGTGCTAGCAGAGAGGAGTAGAACTTGGCACTGTTCTACATGATCATAGAAATAAATTGCCAAAATCGTTGTGCCATGATTGCTAGCACAAGAGTGAGCTTGTTTTTCGATATCTGAATATTTTGTATCATGTAGCCTTGGGGTTGTTGTTGTTTAGTCGGTTAGTCATGTCCGACTCTTCATGACACCATGGACCAGCACACACCAGGCACTCCTGTCTTCCACTGCCTCCCGCAGTTTGGTCAAACTCATGCTGGTAGCTTCGAGAACCCTGTCCAACCATCTCGTCCTCTGTCGTCCCCTTCTCCTTGTGCCTTCAGTCTTTCCCAACATCAGGGTCTTTTCCAGGGAGTCTTCTCTTCTCACGAGGTGGCCAAAGTATTGGAGCCTCAGCTTCACGATCTGTCCTTCCAGTGAGCACTCAGGGCTGATTTCCTTCAGAATGGATAGGTTTGATCTTCTTGCAGTCCATGGGACTCTCAAGAGTCTCCTCCAGCACCATAATTCAAAAGCATCAATTCTTCGGCAATCAGCATTCTTTATGGTCCAGCTCTCACTTCCATACATCACTACTGGGAAAACCATAGCTTTAACTATACGGACCTTTGTCAGCAAGGTGATATCTCTGCTTTTTACCAGTATCCCTGCCAAGAAAACTTCATGGGCAAAAACAACAGCCTTGGGGGGACTAACATATATTTTCCCATTGCATAATTCTGTGATAGACTGTGGAGCTTGAAATGTATTTAATTATTAAGAAATTTATACCCTACCTTTCCATTAAGATGTGTAAGTGTCATGCTCCAACACCTTTTTGGCAGGGCCATCCCAGAGAAGAACTTGGTTGCTGGTCCCAGTGCTGAGCAAGTACTAGGGGAGTCGGCAGAAAGCAATAATCATCCCAGGAAAATCACCCAGGAAGATACCTTGCTTGAAGAAGGCACATATTTTGAGAAAACATTGCATCATGGGTCATCTCATTCCCTTCTCTATAAAACCAGCCGTTCACCCCTTCGGTCAGTTGCAGCATACCCAGCAATGGAGTCACATCTAGAAACCTTAAGTCAACTTCCCCGAGAAGTAAACTTGATTTTCAAGTGCTCCAGATAAGAGTTCTGATGACAGGCCAGGAAGGGGTGAGGCATTAATTATAAAGCTGATAATTGGAAACCTAACTACTACTGAAGCAAAATCTATCTTGCAGTGCTCCTTATAACTCGTTGGATAGCTCCCATGCTGATCCAAACATCCTTGTAATAGGACATTTGTTGCTGTATAAAATAATGTAAAATAGGCAAAAACATAGCCCCAACTCTATACTCACACAGTATGTTATATATATCCTTTTGAAGCTGTTCAGAATTGGCATCCTACCTTCTACGATATGTAAAAACAGAAATGGGGCCTATATAAATCCATCATAATTCTAAGAATGAAACAAACACAACCAGAAATTTATCAGATGGTCCCCACCCCCAATGAAGACACATTACCTAAGAGTAAGGAGGACTTACTTCTGACTAAACATGCATAGGGCATTAGTGGGGAAGTTTTATCTGATCATTTCTAATGAATGCTGATTGGCTAAGGTAAAAGGTGAAAGGAAAGGGAAAGGACCCCTGGACAGTTAAGTCCAGTCAAAGGCGACTATGGGGTTGTGGTGCTCATCTCGCTTTCAGGCCGAGGGAGCTGGTGTTTGTCCACAGACAGCTTTCCGGGTCATGTGGCCAGCAGGACTAAACTGCTTCTGGCGCAACGGAACACTGTGACGGAAAACAGAGCGCACGGAAAGACTGTTTGCCTTCCTGCCACAGCGGGACCTATTTATCTATTTACACTGGCATGGTTTCAAACTGCTAGGTTGGCAGAAACTGGGACAGAGCAATGGGAGCTCAACCCGTTGCACAGATCCAAACTGCTGACCTTCCGATCGGGAAGCCCAAGAGGCTCAGTGGTTCAGATCACAGCGCCACCCATGTCACTTGTTGATTGAGTATGGGGAAGAAAGATAGGAGAGTCATTCTGCAGGACAGCATGAGCCAAAATCTGTTCTTGCTATACAGGAGGGGAGAAGAAGGGGACTGGATGATGCACAGAATAACCCTTCTCTCTCTCACACACACAGCACCACTCAGGACAGTCCTCACTGCTCCATTTTGCTTTAGCTTCTTCTGGCCCTGTTCCTTCAACTTTTCAGCATGCTGCCATGTAAGGGAAAGGTGGAAGGAGGGTGGAATAAGAGGAAAATGCCCCTCTGACCTGTCAGCTAACAGCTGAAGCACAGAGGAGAGAAGAGAAAGATATTTTTTTACAGTAGTGGGGTGCTGAGCAGAGGAGCCAAATTGTTCCATTTCAAATTACTCGCCCAGTGCATTTTAAAGCCATCCAAGTTATTGGCCATCACTAAACCTTGCGGGAATGAATTCCATAGTTTAACTATACAGTGTCTGAAAAAGCAATGTATTTCATCTCTCCTGGATCTTTCAACACTCAGTTTTATTGTGTATCTCTAGGTTCCAATATTGTGAGAGGAGAATAACTCCTTATTCGCTTTCTTCACATTGATCAGTACACAACGTTCTCTATGTGGCAATTAACAATTTTCGCTAGCATTTAAAAGAATATGTCACATAGAAGAGGCATTTCAGATTCATGAGTTCCTTGAAGGAAAGGTGGACTAGAAATGTTATAAAAGAATATAAATACAAAATATTGTTTCTCCTGCCTTGCTGTTCACTTTTAATTTCTCGTCTCTGCTGTGCCATTTTATATCTGGCAGTATCTCTCTGTTTGTTTCTGCACTTATTTTTCCTCACAAATAGACAAGCGGTGATATGGAGTTTTTGTAGATCTTGGTTAAATAATAAAAATAAAAAAGCAACCCATAAAATGGACGGGGAAGAAGCTTTTATAAGCACTCTATCTTTTCTGAAAAGGGATAAAGATTGAGATCTCAGTCTGAGGCTTCCACATTTTATGTCATGTGTAGTACAGAAAGATCTGGCTCTACTGGTCTCCTAGATATTGGAAATTCTTTGCATATTCAGTATTGTCCTGGTGGATGAAGTGAATTTTGCAAAGTGATTGGCCTACTGTAGTTAATGATCCTAACACCTATTAGAGTTGCACTTTAGAATTACAGGGACATTCCCAATACAGTTCTGTAAAACCTGACAATAGAATCATCCTCCGACCTCCTTTGGTCCTTTTGAGGTGCCCCAGTACCTTCTTGTAGCACCTTTATGGCACTCATGCAACACTTACAAGCTTTTGGGCAGAATTCGCCCCACCAAGAGGTAATTTCAGGGATTGGAATCAAGAGGTATGGTGGAGATTGCTTCCCATTTTTCCTGTAGCTGACAGGTAGGTCAGTTTGAATTACAGCTGAGCTATGAGGGAGATAACAAGGCAGAGACTGGTGAGCTGCCAAGTTATGAAGTGTTAGAAGAAGCATGGGGGAGGGAAAATAGTCCAGTCAGTAGACACTTCATTAGACAGCATAGATCAGGCATGTCCAACTCTATAGAGACTGCGATCTGCTCCCAGTATAATTAAACTGCAGTGATCTACCCATTGTCGTTGCCCAGAGTTGTTGAGCTTTTTTTGGAAAGGGTTGCATAAAATCGCTCACCCAACAGTCCGCAGCCATCCCTCCTTCCCCCACTCAGCCACCAATGGAGGGAATGAAAGCTTTCACAGTGGTGGCGGGAGCAGTGATGGGACATAGCTCCAGGAGCGGGGCACATCGCAATCACTCAGGAGCAGCTGGGCAATCTCTTTTTTTACTCTCGCAATCAACTGAGAGAACCCTGAAGTAGATGATCCACCATCTCCTAGAACGCAACGTTCGTTAAGGGTGCAAGAGCAACGAACGCCAAGACATTTGACCATGGGGGGCCTCCGTAGGGTCAGATGCTGCTGGCAAAGACAGAAGGGGGAGGAGCCAGAGTGAGCAAAGAATTGAATTCTTTGTCTTCTTACGTATTGACTGAGTCAGAGCTTTCTTGTTTCCTCCCTGATTCTGGAAATCATCGGGGGGAGGGAGATAATTCCTCAAGCCTGACATATGAACATAATTCCCTGCTTCCTGGCATCCCTTGCAACAAAACACCAAATATTCCTTGTTTATTTGATTTAACCTGACTGGTGTTAAATACCATCTCCAAACTAAATTATAATAATTTTCTTTTATTCTTATAGACAAATATATATGTTTCTTTAAGTTGCCTTAGCTCATTTTGAGAAATGGCTCTAAGAAATTAATGATGATGATTATAATAACAGCACTGAGCTGGGCGTAGTAGTGTGATCCTGAACCCCCATCTATGTACAGGCAGTGCTTTTTTTTCTAGAAAAAGAGGTGCAGGAATTCCCACCTTTTGGGGACGGACAGCTCTAAGTTGTAGAGCTTTTGGGGGAACGCCAAAGTTGTTCAGGTTTTTTTAGGGGAACCAAAGTTGTTGAACTTTTGGGGGGTGCTTTTGGGGGGCAACAACCACCCACAGCCACTTTCTGTCACCCTACGACGCCATGCGAATCACAGCACTGCCCTGAGCGCAGCAACGTGCTGAAACACAGCAAAGAGGTTCTGGAACTCAGTTGTGGGGAGTTCTGGCTGGAAAAAAGCCCTGTGTTCAGGTATGAAAGGGGTTCATGAGGTGCTCTGTTTGGCTCCACTGTCAGAGGCACCAAGATGTCTCCTGCTGTCTCAGTTTGTAGAGGTGAAGTAACTCCTGTGGGGAAGCCTCTGGTTGGGTACAGTGTCTTCTGCCTCTCCAAAGGCCTTTGTCTCTCTGAATATCTTCACTGTGTTTGATGCATTTGTAAAGAAATAAGACAAGTGCCAAGCTACCAAGATGCAGGAATTTCCCCTTGTCTTCTACTTCTGGAAGCAATTGCTGAAGTCTTGATGAGTTTAAAATAGTTTCACCTTTTATGGCTGGAGGCCGGTAAATAACTGCAAGCCATTAGTGACGAGAGAGTACTTTCTTGCACACACACACACACACAAAAACAACCCAAGCTGCTACATTTAGCACTAAGGATGCTTCCTTTGAGTGGCAGTGGAGATGGAAGTCTAATGATAATTTTCAAAACAAAACAAAAAAGGTAGCTTCAAAGAGCCACTTAAGGCTGCTAAGTGACAAGCTTACTTACTGATCACATCCTTTAGCACCACCCTATTACTTTTACAAGCAGGGAACCAGATAAAAGCTTAATGTATATCCCAAATAAGTGAAGTCAAAGGAACTGTTGCCCATTACTTTGCTGAAAGTAAAGGAAGCACATAATATTAGCCTGCTGTTTTAAGCCAGTTGTAAAGGAATTGTTTAATTACAGCAAACAGTTAAATAGCAATTTGCTTGAAAACACGGGTGTGAGTCTCCACCACATATCTTGCCACTGCCGTGAGCTCCTTCATCCATTGCGTGGACAGGCAGAGTCCCCCAAACCCTGGGCGGCCCCATGTGGAATAATGACTCAAGACAATGTGCTATGGGATTAAAATTGGCCACAACTTTATTATGTTTCAGATGTGGGTAGACCTTGGCTCAGGCATTGGGCATTTATCCCTCCCAGTCCCCCACTGGGGATCTGGGAACATCAGGGTTATCCAGTGTGTGGGGGGGGGATGGGCTGGCTCTGGAAAACTTATGTTCAAGCAGAGAGAGCCCGCCCCCGTTATGCCGCCATCGCAGGGGAGAGCAATGACAACCTCTAGGCGTACGGCCAAAGCCTCTCCTCAATACAACCCCTTTAACAGGGAACCCTGGTATCACCGCTGCAAAGAGGGGGTGGGTCACTGCCACATGCCCACCCCCATTTAGGGAAGATAGACTAAAGGATTCCACCCAAGGCCTGATACCACCAAAGTTGTCACGTTTTGCTATGGGAAAGCCAAACCTGCCAATGCAAGAAAATTCAACAGCGACTTTGACGTAGCAGCACCTGTGTACCTGTGGAGAAAAGGTTAACCCGCAAAAGAAGTCTTAACTGAGGGTGGGTAGGGTGGGAAAAGCTCTGGAGTCAACTGACGATTCCCAGGTAAGATCCTCCCCCTATTGTGTGGGCAGGGTGGTCCCTCCCCCTACCTGGCCTGATCACCTTGG